AGCTGAATAATACTCCATTGTGTAAAAATACCACATCTTTCTCAACCATTCCTCAGGTGATGGGCATCTTGGTTGTTTCCAAAATTTGGCTATCACAAATTGTGCTGCTATAAACGTAGGCACACATATATCCCTATGATATGATGTTTTCAGATCCTCTAAGCTCAGAAGATTTTAAAAGATCCATAAAGATTTAGATATTTTGGTGATTTTTTTTTTTTAGAGGTTAGATATTTGAGCAATGTCTAGAATCCTTTGGAGTCATCTTAAGTATATTATTGCTTTACCAAAACTATTAAAGTATTAAGGCTGATTAAATCTGATTCAGGATACATATATATATATTTTTTTTTGATTCAGTGTATTTTTTAATTCCTAATGAGAAATGAGATTATTGGAATAAACTAGTAGGAAGAAAAGAAAACTGGATTTAAAAAAAAGAGGGCATTTTTGTTTGAAGTTCCCAAGTTATAAGAGTGATTGAAAAATATGGTAAACGTTGTAAGGTTTTAAAAAATTGTTATAGTAAAAGACATTGTCAGTCATCCCCCTCAGCTGTGAGCACGCTGTCCCGCCCTTTCACCATCTGAAGCAGTCCTAGAAGACTGTTGTGAGTGTCGTACAAGGTATGATTGCAGATACAGCAAATGCAGCTGCTCGGTGCCATCCAGGGAAAAGCAGGCTCCAGAGCGTTGCGTCCCTGCCAGGGTGATCTGGTCCTGTGGCAGGGAGGGCCCCTCCCTGGCAGGATGGCTTTGAAAGGTGAACACTGCAATTGATTTCGGACTTCATTGTGAATGAAGACACAAAAGAGGACTTCAGCGTTGCTCGAGAGTGCCAAGGACCAGGGGAAGAGGGGGGTTAAGGGGAGTTAATATGTTGATGCTTTAGTGTCTTACTGCAGTCAATTTTTAAAATTTTAAGCATTTCCTGTATTTTGCAGTCATACTTCAGATACTAATTGTTGGGTTCTTCTATTACAAATTGCCATCTTCAGTGCAGGTGCTTAGTTCACAGGTGTCAGTGTATATAGTTAGGCAGGGTGAGAATCTTTCCAGTTAACTGCTAGATTCAAAAATCTGGAGATTCTCAGGATCATTGCCTTGCCCATCTTCTGCGT